GTTGGCGGCCCTGCATATGGCGGGGGGGTTGAAACTAGATGATCACTATGGTCCTTTTCAACCCAGGCCATTCTGTGATTCTATGATTCTGTGAAACACCTGACCTTTTTTCTGAGTATTGTTTTACCAAGGAACAAAGACACCCAAGGCAACATTGCTCCAAGAAGGCGCTTAAGCAGCTGTATCTGGGTTATCATAGCAGCCTCTGGCTGTTAAAACGGCAATAGGCAGACAAAATCAACTGCCCGTGGCAGTCTTGATGCTGTGTCTGAGGCTTACCCTCTCTCATTAAAAGCAAGAGGATTCCTGTTTCTGTATTGGTACTGGAGGGAAGCACGCTGCCTCGCTGCCTTTGATAGCACAGTGACCCCACCTCCATTATCTGAGATGTTGGGCTCATATTGGACAGTAGCTTTCATAAGCCTAATAGAAGTACTTAACATTTAATAACTTTGCTGAATTGTAACCTAATTGTTTCACATATAGCTTATGTGTGAATTTAACTACATGGAAGGCTTAAAATGTCTGCATTATTCAGCCATTAGGGTCATTGGGAACAAAGATAATGAGATGGTTTTTATTTACCAAAACCTTTAACTCAAGCTAAGTGGCAGATTTACTTCAAAATAGTCAGAAATTTTATTCCTTCCTAAAGACAAAATGCTTTTACATCTTTTTTTTTCTACAAAACTCCCACAGATGTTTTAAGTGAAACACAGAACCAAAGTGGAAAGCCTGCTATAAAGAAGTATGTGGAAAACAGCTTAGCAGGGCAGTGTAACTGTTGGTTTCCTTTCTTCCCTTTCTACTTTTCACTCAATAGTTGGGGCAGTGTATTTCTTTTACCATTGCACTGACAGCTGATGTTCAGTTTTGTGTAATTTGTTGTCTGCTTTTGCACTGTTCACTTATGTAAAAGGTATCCTCATTTAGCAACTTAAAGATTAATTTATGTTGGTGGCATTGGGGTTTTACATCTTTCTGCATAAATGGACTGCCTCAAATGCTGCATTGATATAATGCAATAGTGCTTATATTTGATAGTTACATCAAGTCTGTCACTGCTATACAGACATCTATCCTAGATTTTTGCAAAAACAAGCCCATTTTCAGATGATAGCTTCCTTTTGATTTAGCTCTCATTTATGTCACAAATTGTGTAGTTTCTAGTTAGCAGAACAAATTCACATGACTTAATTGAGATAGGTCTGTAATGACAGATGGATTCACATAAGCAATAAGTACTTTTTCTCAAGTTATATTCTTGTATATATTAAATAGATTTCTTATACCATTTAGCAGTTTACACTCCTCATCACACTTGCACTGGCACGGGCTGTGGAAGCTTACTGCTTTCTTCATAGTTACACATACACACACAAAAACATACACATATATATGCATGTTGTGAGAAAAACAAGTAGCTAAATTGCCAGGGCTGCATCTATTTATTTGAATTCCAGCTCTTCCAAGCTAAGTAACATGTTGTTTGCTCCATCTGAGGGAAATTCTTAGCTTACTCTTCTTGCTGTGCATTG